AGAGTGTGTGTTAGGTGATTTACATTTTTGCTAATCCTCAGAGCAATTTACAGATGCAGAATCCGAGATGTTAAATGACCTGCCTGAGGTAACACTGTCAGTAGTAGCAGAATCCAGATGAATTGAATCCAGGCCAGTCTGGCTCCAGGATCTGTGCTCTTATCACTGCACCACACTGGCATTGGTGCTACAGGCACTGAAGTGTGCCTGTTATTGTATTCTTGCTTCTTACATGGATTATTTTATTTTAAAATGCTAAGAAAATGTACTAATTACTCAAATAATGCAGGTTTATTGTAGTAAAGTTAGGAAAGACAGAAGAGCAAAGAAAACAAATTAAGTCTCAAATAATGTACCACCCAGAAAGGGCACAGCTAGTATTTTATACCTTTGCCTCCCAAAACTACTTTTTTCCTTACTTATTTGAATTTATTATTTTTTTAACAAAAAAGGGGCTTATACTGCATATACTCATTTCTAACTTGCTTCTTAAAAAGTTTATCAACATTTTTCCATATCAATAAATATACGTCTCTATTACATTTTGTTGGCTGTGTAATATTCCACAATGCAGATACATCATGATTTGTCAAATTTGTTTCCAATTGCTAGACTGACTGCTTTCAATGTTATGGCTCAAATTAACATTATAACATCTATGTATATCTTTGCTTATTAGATCACTCACTTTTAAGAAAATTACTGGAGGTAAAAAAAAGGGCCAAAATATGCATTTTTAAAAGACTTAATTCTCTGGAAAGGCTACACAAATTGAGATTTCTTCTGAAAATCTGAAACCTGAAATGCTCCACAATTTGAAACTTTTTGAGTACTGACATGACACTACAAATGAAAAAATTCAACAACTGATTTTATGTGACAAGTTTCAGTCAAAACTTTGTTTTATGCATACAATTATTTAAAACATTGTATAAAATCACCTTCAGGATATTTGCATAAGGTGTCTATAAAACACAAATAAATTTCATGTTTAGATTTGGGTCCCATCCCCAATAATACATAGATTATGTATATGCAAATATTCCAAATCTGAAAATTTTGAAATCCTAAGCACTTTTGGTCCCAAGCATTTCAGATAAGGGATATCTGGTGCGTTGGTGTTTGCCAATATGATAGGTGAAAACTGACATTTTAGTTTTTATTTCCTTAAGTACTAGTATGGATAAACTTTTTTTTTTCACAGTTACTGATCACTTTCATTTTTTACTAATGAATTACTTAGTGGAGTCATATCAGGTGCATGTTTAATTTGATTGCATACACTCAGCAACATAATAACCTATATGTAATTAAAATTACATTTTGCATATATTCTCTTTATTATATATAGTCTGTTACATTTTACATTTATAAATGTATATTACTGTAAGGATTATGTATAAAAACCCCCATACAATATAGATATCATTAGAAATTTGGGAGATTTTTCCTTAACTTTGAAAATTCTCTATTTTTTCATTTTATACTCTATTTCAGAATATTTATGAAAAGGATGTGCCTCATTACATTTTGCAAAAAGATGGGCCCAATTCAGTTTTGGGGTACCTTTTTCTAACTTATTTGTAAGTGTTTTACATAACAAAAATATTAACCCCTACTTAGCTACATGTTTATTGTGAATAATTCCCCTCAGTTTGTCATTTGTATTTTAACATTGTTTATGATATTTCTTGTCCTATAAAAAATTTAACTTTTTAATATTATATATATCTAACTGTGTTTTTCAACCATAATGATCACACTCTGAAAGACTTCTGTATTAGTTCATTTTCATGTTGCTGATAAAGACATACCCTAGACTAGGCAATTTAGAAAAGAGTTACAGTTCTACATGCTGAGGAGGCCTCAAAATCATGGCATAAGGCAAGGAGGAACAAGTCACATCTTACGTGGATGGCAGCAGGCAAAGTAAGCTTGTGCAGGAAAACTCACCATTATAATAAACATCAGATCATGTGAGACTTCCTACCAGAGATGAGCATGGGAAAGAGCTGCCCCCATGATTCCATTACCTCCCACCGGGTCCCTCCCACAACATGTGGGAATTCCAGATGAGATGTGGGTGGGGACACAGCCAAACCATATCAATTTCTTTAACTTAAAATTCCATAACTAATATATTCTACCAGTTTTGTCCTTTTATTTCTTATAGTAAAATTTTTAATTCATTAGGAGTCAAATGACATAATCCCTTCTGTTTTCTCCCATTTGAAACGCCATCTTTATTTTCAAATAAATTCTTGTGTAAACTTTGGTATGTTTCTATACTGTCTCCTCTGTTCCACCGACAGGCACCTTCATTTCAGTGTCAGTTTAAAGCTATCTTTTTTTTTTTGAGACGGAGATTCGCTCTTGTTGCCTCCTCAGGCTGGGTTGCAATGGCACGATCTCGGCTCACTGCAACCTCTGCCTCCTGGGTTCAAGCGATTCTCCTGCCTCAGCCTCCTGAGTACTGGGAATACAGGCATGTGCCACCATGCCCGGCTAATTTTGTATTTTTAGCAGAGACGAGGTTTCTCCATGTTGGTCAGGCGGGTCTCCAACTCCTGACTTCAGGCCTGCCAAAGTGCTGGAATTATGTGTGAGCCACTGCACCCAGCAAAGCTATCTTAATTACCATAGCTTTATAATATGTATTAATTAAAGTAGGACAAATATCTCACCTTTACTGCTCTTTTAAAAATATTAGGCTATATTACACATTTATTCTTCAAAATAAAACTTAGAATAATTTTTGTCAGGCTTCTCCTGAACACTTCTTTTAAGATTCTGATGTGTAGATTGAGAGAAACTGTTATGTTTACAATACATCCCTCCATTTTTTTCAAGTTTTCTTTTATGTTCCACAATTTCATTTGCCATTTCCTTCAAATAGGAAATGAACATTGCCTTTTAAAACTGTTGTTCGATATTATACATTTTGTTGCGCTTTTATCTTTTTATTACATTATTTTATTGCTGATAAAAGCTATTGATATTTGCATATTGATTTTTTGTAACCTAATGAACTCATTGTTTTGAGTAGTTTTTTATTTGATTCTTTTTATTTCGTTTTGCTCTTTTGTTCAGGTAAGCAATTATACCATTTACTAGTTATTTTATTTTTTTCTCCTTTCTGGTACTTTTGCTTCCATTTTATTTCTTTTTGTTTTTTTCCTCTCCTTCATTGACTAGAATTTCCAGATAAACTTTGAGAAAAGCTGAGAAACTTTTGCTCCTTATTTATAGTGAGACTAGGGGTTCCTTATCCGATATGATACTAGGTATTATTTAAAGTGAACAGTGTGAGGTTTTGATATGTGTGAGGGTGCGTGTGGACGTGCATGTGCATGTGTGGAGAGAACATTTAAGATCTCTGTGATGGTTAATTCTATGTGTCAACTTGACTGGATTAAGGAATGCCCAGATTGCTGGTAAAGCATTATTTCTGGGTATGGTTGTGAGGGTAGACATTAGCATTTGAGTAAGTCAACTGAATAAAGGAAATCTACCCTCACCAATGTGAGTTGTCATCATCCCATCCGTTGAGGGCCCCTACAGGACGAAAAGGCAGAAAATGGGTAAATTCTCTATTGTTGAGCTGGGACATCATTTTCTCCTGACCTTGTAAATCAGAACACCTGATTCTTGGACCTTCAAGCTCCAATGCTTACACAAATCCCCCATAACCTCCAAGTTCCAGTTCTCAGGCCTTACGTGTTGAACTAGGAGTTACACCATTGGTTCCCCTGGTTCTTGGACCTTTGGAATTGAACTGAATTATACCACCACATTCCTGTTTCTCCAACTTGCAGATGGGATATCATGGGGCTTCTCAGCCTCTATAAATGCATGAGCCAATTCACCCAATAAATCTCGTCATAGGTATATATGAGTTAGGCAATTATACCACTTACTAGTTATTTTAATTATATATATATGTATATCTATCCTATTGGTTCTGTTTCTCTGGAGAATCCTGCCTAGTACATACTCTCTCGGTGAATTTCAAGTATACAATACAGGATTACTAACTATAGTCACCATGCTGTACATTAGATCTCCAAACTTACTCATTCAGCATAACTAAAACATTGTACCCCATTTCTCCTATACACCAGCCCATGGCAACCTCTAATCTACTCTCTGCTTCTAGGAGTTTAACTATGTTAGTATCCAAATATGAGGTCATGCAGTATTTGTTTTTCTATACTTGGCTTATTTCACCCAGCATAATGTCTTCCAGCTTTTTCCATGTTGTCACAAATGACAAGATTTTCTTATTTAGGGCTGATTAATATACACATTTTATGTTTGTATATATAATCATTTTCTTTATTCATCTGTCAATAGATACTTAGTTTGATTCCACATCTTGGCCATTGTGAATAATGCTGCAATGAACATGGGGGTGCAGATATTTCTTTGACATGTTGATTTTTCCTTTGGATATATACCCAGAAATGAGATTGCTGAATCACGTGATAGCTCTATTTTTAATTTTTTTGAGGAAGCTCCATACTATTCTCCATAATGGCTATACCAATTTACATTCCTACCACCAGTGTGTCAGGGCTCCCTGTTCTCCACATCCTTGTCAACTCTTACCTCTTCCCTTTTGATAATAGCTGTCCTAACAGGTGTGAGGTGATATCTCATTTTGGTTTTGATTTGCATTTGTCTGATGATTAGTGATGTTGAGAATTTTTCATATACCAATTGGCTATTTGTATGTCTTCTTTGGAAAAATGTCTATTCCAGTTTTTGCCCATTTTTCTATTGGGTTATGTGTTTTCTTGCCATTGAGTTGTTTGAGTTCCTTAAACATTTTAGATATTAACACATCAGACGTGTAGTTTGCAGATATTTTCTCCCATTGCTGTAGGCTGTATATTCACTCTGTTGATTGTTTCCTTTGCTGTACAGAAACAGCTTAGTTTGATGCAATTCCATCTGTTTATTTCTGCTTTTGGTCCTTATGCTTTGGAGTCATATACAAAAAAATCATTGTCCAGACCAATGTCAAGAAGCATTTTCCCTATGTTTCCTTCTAGTAGTTTTATAGTTTCAGCTCTTATGTTTAAGCATTTAATTCATTTTTAGTTGCATTTTACATGGTGTGAGATATGGGTCCAATTTCACTTTTGTGCATCAGAGTTCAGTTTTCACGACACCATTTACTGAAGACAGTACACTTTCCTCATTGTATGTTCTTGCACCCTTGCTGAGGATTAATTGACTGTAAGTGCATGGGTTTATTTTTAGGCTCACTATTCTATTTCATTAGTCTTTAAGTCTATTTTGGTACCGATATTACACAGTTTTGATTACTATAGCTTTGTAGCATATTTTTAAAACAGTGTGGTGCCTCCAGCTTTGTTCTTCTTGCTCCATATTGCTTTGGCTATTTGGAATCTTTTGTGGTTTCATATAAATTTTATGATATTTTTTCTATTTCTAAGAAAAGTGACATTGGAATTTTGATTGCACTGAATCCATGGATTGCTTTAGATAGTGTGAACATTTTAACAATATTAATAATTTCAATTTATGAACACAGTATATCTTCCAATTTATTTGTGTTTTCTTCCACTTCTTTCATCTATGTTTTACAGTTTCTCATGTACACATATTTTGCCCACCTGGTTAATTTTTTTCTAAGTATTTTATTGTTTTAGATGCTATGGCATTGTTTTCTTAATTTCTTTCTCAGTTCTTTGTTAATGTACAGTAACACAACTGATTTTTGTATGCTGATTTTGCATTCTGCAAGTTTACTGAATTTATTAGTTCTAAAAGTTTCTTGGTGGTGTTTTCTACATATAAGATCATGAGTTTTGTACACACAAGGTTATGCCACCTACAAAGAAATTTTTACTGCTTTCTTTTTGATTTGAATCTTTTTATTTCTTTTTCTTGTCTAATTGCTCTGGCTAAGACTTCCAGTACTATGTTGAATAGAAGTGGTGAGCATGAGTTTCTTGTCTTGCCCTGATCTTGGAGGAAAGAGTGAGTTTCTTGTCTTGCCCTGATCTTGGAGGAAAAGCTTTTAACTTTCAACTATTGAGTATTATGTCAGCTATAAGCTTGTCATATATGGCCTTTATTCTATCAATATATGTTCCTTCAAATACTTTGTCTACATCTACTGAGATGATATGATTTTTATCCTTCATTCTGTTAATGTTGTATGTCACATTTATTTATTTTCAAGTGCTGAATCATCCTTGCATCCCAGGTCCCACTAGATCATGGTGTGATCCTTTTAATGTGCTGTTGAATTTAGATTATTTGTATTTCACTGAGGGATTTTTGCATCTATGTTCATCAGGCATATTAGCCTCTAATTTTTTTTCTTACAATGTCCTTGTCTGGCTTTGGCATCCGGGTAATGTTGACTTCATTAGATGAGTTTGGAAGTGCTCCCTCTTCTTCCATTTTTTGCAAAAGTATGAGAAAAAAGTGTTTACTAGAATTCACCAGTGAAACCCTTAGGTCCTAGTCTTTCCTTTGTTCAGAAGTTTTTAATGACTGATTCAATTTCCTTACTAGTTATCCTGCCTCTTCATGGTTCACTCTTGGTATGTTATGTGCTTCTAGGAATTCATCTCTTTCTTTTAGGTTATCTAATATATTGGCACAAAATTGCTCAGAGAAGTCTCTTATAACCTTTTGTATTTCTGCGCATGTCTCCTCTTTCACTTATTATTTCATTTGCGTTTTTTCTTAGTGTAGCTGAAGGTTTTTCAATTTTGTTCCTTTTTTAAAAACCTACCCTTAGTTTAATTAAACTTTTCTATTGTTTTTCTTCAATTCAGAGAATTTGTGATTTTTTTTTCCTCTTATGCTCTTGGCTATCACTTTTATTTTATTTGTGTTTGAGCTTTAAGTAAGAATACCCATCTGTTGGTCCTCCATTCTTTGTTGTTCATATCATCACTTTCCTTTTCCTTTTCTTTCCATCTTTTTATCCTTCTCTGCACCATCATGAGAGATTTATTCAAATGTCTTCCGTAACATTCTGATTTTCTACAGGATCAATTCTGTTCTTGACTGTTCTCAATGAGTATTTTAATCTTGCTCTTGTGCCTTTAGCTTCCTTTCAATCTTCTTTAGTCTTTTCCTATTTGCTTTTTATCTTCTTCTGTCCTTTATCTCATAATTTACTTTCTATTTCACACGTTTGCCTTCTGATAGGGGCCTTGTTTTCTTGTAATACAGTATTCTGATTATTTCTTCTGGGTCTTGGAGCATCCTCAGGTGTGTTCTTTGCTTTATTGTGATTAGATGTAGCACTCAGAAAACTGAAATTCACAGTCTGCACTGGTAATATTTTTTCCCATCTATGTCCACTTCCCACATTGGCTGTCTCATAAGGATTATATTTATTAGAATGCCCTGGACCAGTGTTAGCAACCCCCTACTTTCTGTTATTTGCTTCCTGAGTATTTCAATATCTGTTTGTTGTAGAAAGGTGACAGCTGAAGTGTCGGGAAAACGATAATCTCTCAGAGCAGTTCCCAAGAGCCAGAGAGGGGTTTCTGCTCCGATTTCTGGTTGGCACAATTCCTGGTTCACTAGGTCAGCAGGCAGATGTAATAGAGTTGTGAAGCATATTCTTACCTCTCACCATACTAATTCTTTTATGCAATAAAGAGAGATATGCTATGAGTTGAAGCTCCACATGCCGTATAAATAGAACCTATGTTTCCCAGATTCTATTGGTATTAGTTTCTACCGCCACTGTACTTCTTTATTATTTCTTGTGTTTTCATGAGCATTGAGAGACAAATTATACTGGGAACTGCTAGTTAGATCCATTTTGATATGATTCTTGTTGACCCAGGTTTTCACATAATTTGATTTTGGAGATGATCAAGTCTTCCTACTCATTAGCAAATATTAATCACTTTTGCAGTCCTAGATTTCACACCTCTTCTTAGTTAAATGTAATCTTGCCTTCTGTATTTAGCTGTAGCATCCAGGTTAGTCTTTATTTAGCCAAAGCCTTTCAGCTCCAAACTTTCTCTTTAGTACTCTGCTTTCAGATGCTGAAACAAGGATACTACAAACTGCATTTTGCCTTTGCCCCAGGCTTCTTGTTGGACACTGCAGTTAGTGAGCACGAGAGGAAGACTGGAAGGCAGGAGCAGGGAAAAGAACTTGCTCCTTCCTGTGCTCTTCATGTTCCACCCACATTGCGTCAGCAATGGTACTTTACTCTGGCAGCTACAGTTGGTTCTGGCTTCCAGTATCCTGCAGTGCTCCCAGAATCAACTTCATTATTCTCTCTTATGGATATCACGACTAGTCTGGCAGTTCTCTCCTCAGAGATCTGAGGCCCAGCTGCTGAGATACCAGTCCCAGCACTAGCTGGGTGGCTTCCTTTCTCAGAGGACTGAGTCCCAGCTCCACAAGGTTCCACCTCTGGCCTTCTAGGATCTGCTGACCCCAGCCTTTTCCTTTTGTCCTCTCAGCCCTAGAGAAGGTAACGGCTTTCAAAGGCGCTGGCGTTATCCTGTTTTCGTTGTGCTCTGTTTTGCTTTTTAAGCTTACTAATGCCCCTTTCACCAAATGCCTATGTTGAATTCTCTCTGTTCAAATAACTACTATGATTTCTGTTTTCTGGCTGGACTGTAACTATTAGGATGCTTTCACAAAACGTTTGTGAGGGTTAACCTTGCAGGAAGCCAGGCCAAGGGGTGTGTGGAAGGTATGCTTGGCACTATGCTTGATGATGGTAAAGTGTGTACCCCAAGACTTCGATAAGAAAACAAAACTTTTTGGACTACAGTACTGCCAGATCACTGAGTGTGGGATGGGGTGTGTGTGGTAGGAGAGTACATACTAGGAAGTGGGAAATGGTCAGGTGCCGTGGCTCACACCTGTAATCCCAGCACTTTGGGAGGCCAAGGCGGGTGGATCACTTGAATCCCGGAGTTTGAGATGAGCCTGGGAGACGTGGAAAAACCCTGTCTCTACAAAATATACAAAAATTAGCCAAGCATGGCGGTACATGCCTGTAGTCCCAGCCACTTGGGAGGCTGAGGCAAGAGGATCATTTGAACCTGGTATGAAGAGGTTGCAGTGAGCAAAGATGGCGTCTCTGCACTCCAGCAGGGGCAACAGAGTGAGACAGAGTCTCAAAAAAAAAAAAAAAATATTGTAGATTCAAAAGAAAACTTAGAAATTCTAATTGCTGCAAGCCCTTCTTGGAGTGAAACAACCTTGGTTGTAAACTTTCCAAAGGGAAGTCAGAATCAGATTGGAGTTCTTAAGAAGACAAGTGTCTTTCAGGGGCTGGAGTGAAACTATGGTAAAATGAACTGGCTAAATGGTCACTGAAAATGAGACCAACTCTGTTATAAGACATTTAATAACATCATAACGCTTTGATGGCAAAGAAAAGGCATGTCAACTGAGGGGCTGAAAGTCCCTTAGTTCCTTCTATGTTCATATTCATCTAATCTAAATGAATCTGTTATGACCAGTTTTTTTTTTTTTTTTGAGACGGAGTTTTGCTCTTGTTACCCAGGCTGGAGTGCAATGGCGCGATCTCGGCTCACCGCAACCTCCGCCTCCTGGGTTCAGGCAATTCTCCTGCCTCAGCCTCCTGAGTAGCTGGGATTACAGGCACACACCACCATGCCCAGCTAATTTTTTGTATTTTTTTAGTAGAGACGGGGTTTCACCATGTTGATCAGGATGGTCTCGATCTCTTGACCTCGTGATCCACCCGCCTCGGCCTCCCAAAGTGCTGGGATTACAGGCTTGAGCCACCGCGCCCGGCTATGACCAGTTTTTTTTTTAAACACTTGATTCAGTCACCAACCGACCATTGGGACTGAATCAAAGAAGACGTAACACTCAGTTTCGATGTTGAGAATACTGTTCGCACTGAACATCAGATCTATGTAAAATTTTGGTTCAGCTATTTTACACTTTTTGATAGGCATAATATTTTACTTTAGAAATGCTCATTCATGTCACTGGAACAACATTTTAGACTCTTAAAAAATGCCACAGAGTTGCAGTTATGTAGGATGAAAACGTCTAGAGCTCTAATGAGGA